TATCATTGTTGATACTGTACAGTCAGTATATCATTGATATCATTGTTGATACTGTACCGTCAGTATATTATTGTTGATACTGTACAGTCAGTATATTATTGTTGATACTGTACAGTCAGTATATCATTGATATCATTGTTGATACTGAATAGTCAGTATATTATTGTTGATACTGTACAGACAGTAAATTTTTGATATTATTGTTGATATTGAACAGTCAGTACATTATTGTTGATACTGAACAGTCAGTATATCATTGATATCATTGTTGATATTGAACAGTCAGTATATTATTGTTGATACTGTACAGTCAGTATATTATTGTTGATACTGTACATTCAGTATATCATTGATATCATTGTTGATGCTGAACAGTCAATATATTACTGTTGATACTGTACAGTCAGTATATCACTGATTTCATTGTTGATACTGTACAGTCAGTATATCATTGTTGATACTGTACAGTCAGTATATCACCAATTTCATTGTTGATACTGTACCGTCAGTATATTATTGTTGATACTGTACAGTCAGTATATCATTGATATCATTGTTGATACTGTACAGTCAGTATATTAGTGTTGATACTGTACAGCCAGTATATCATTGATATCATTGTTGATACTGTACAGTCAGTATATCATTGTTGATACTGTACATGTAGTACATCATTGATATCATTGTAAATACTGTACAGTCAGTATATCACTGTACTGTATATCATAATCAAAGAATTAATCATACTCCTTTCTATTTAAAAAAAAAAGAAAAACTTTACAAAAACATCAGTGTTGATAAACATCTTCGATAAAAAAATGTTTTGAAAGCAGCTTTATTGATAGGATATTTTCTATCAATTAAATCTTTCTGGCGTTGACATATCTTTTCAGAATTTATCCCATTTAGATTTCTGTATGTGATATTTACTGTGACTGTCCTTCTTCTGTACGAAAATTCAGTTACTGAAATCTGATAAGCATTGCAATACTGAATGATCAGATTATTTATCTAAAGCAAGCGCACATTTTCACGAAACTGTTGAAATTTACAATGAAAGACAAACGACTATCTTTAACAAAATTGTCAGTTACCGTTTGTTGTTAATTCCTGTTGCATTGTTTAAACGGTTTGATAGGCATAATGTACTTTTAAATGAAAGTTTCAAAGGTCACATATTTATCAAGTTATCGCGCCAAACCACGAGAGCACAAATCTATAAAGTGCATCACGCAAAAAACCGAAACTGCAAATGTAATTGCAGGCAAACTGGAAAAAGATTTTTTTTTAATTCAATTTAAATAACATCTCTAGAAATTGAGTTGAATATAGGTCCAAGGCACAGTGTGTTATTTTGGTGGTAAATTTTTGGGCTATGTCAATTTTCAAAGACGAGACTCCACCGTAACTTGACCCCTTTAAAATCCACAAAGGGACGTTGGGGCACTCAGGTTGGCCCACGTGGATGAAATCCTCGCTACGCCACTGGTTCAAGTTATTATTTCTTTAGTCATTTCGGCTTGTCCATTTGATTATTACTCTTTGGAAGTCAAATTGAATTGCGATATTTAGCCAAGAAATATTAATATTGAGTTGGGAGTTTAGATAGAGATTTAACAAGTGACTGTAGACTTATCGGAAATGAAGGACGTGGTAAGACAAATCCTAAAAATGTCCTAATTCGATTTTCCAGACTGTTCTGGCACCGAGTGGTTAAAATACATCATATCATAATATTGTACATCTTTACAATATCAAGCTATTACGCACTGCTTCTAAAATCTTGACTGCAATAGCCACCTGTTTTTTTTTATTACGGAAGTTTGTAAATGCAGCGATTTGATCGGATTGTACGCTGCCAAATACAGCCAATCAAAGCCTTCGTTACCCGTGCAACTAAATTGTTTACAATATCTTTCATTCTAGGGCACTGGTTGGTTGTTTTTCTCAAGAGTACAATCCGGTCAAATTTACATTTACTTTTACAAACCTCTGCGATATAAGAAAGGTTGCTATTGCAGTCAAGGTTATAAACGTAGTTCGTAATAGAAGATAAGAAGTAATGATAAATAGTATATCCTATCTATACCACCTTGCTACTCCTTACAGTAACATCAAGATCTGACATCCGGTAGTCCAATAAGATTTAAGACGGATGGACGTAAAGAACTCTATTCCAGTTCTTTGTACTAGACGTCCGTATTATTGAGCCATGAAATTAAGTTAAGTGAGTATTTTGTTACATGTTACTAAAGGAAATGTGTGGTTGATAATGTGTATTGTAGTATAGTAATACGTAAAGCATCTGTCTGAGAGCTTAAGGTCAAACTTTCTTTCTGTTCCTCCTACACTGCTGTCACTACGGATATTATAATAAGGATGATCCAGTCCAATTATATTACAAATGTTGCAATACTTGAAAACTGTCGTTACTGAGAAGCAAGAAAGTAGGTAAATGTTACGAGCACTATATATTGATATAAGAGTGTCTTTCATTGGAAATTTCTATTTGAACCCTACATTAATGAAGAATAACACTTGATATTTCTACTTTGAGGTGAACGAACTAGTAACGAGTTTTGTTAAGGGCAATCAGTTTTCTTAAAGTACAATATTTCTATATTTTCCTTCAGTTTTTTATTCTGTCTTGCATTTATGTATCTGTTACAGCATAGTGCCGTATTCAGCTTTAATAATAAATTCCTCAAGACAATTATATATCAATCCGAATCGATTTGTACTATCAATCGCGTAAAGCCGTGGGGTGTAGGATATTGTTGGCACAATATATCGGTAAATCGATGTATCACGATACGACATGCTACGATACGCGTATCGTATCGCAACGTCGTGTATCGATACTTGACAATACCTTTCATTCCATAAAAAGTTTTTGTAAGTTGATTTATGATTTTTTTTTCACTGAAATTGTTAGAAACTTTGGAAACAGTGGACGCTAACCACTTCTATCTACTATATAACCGAATATCACAGTTATAAAGTTATGAATTACTATATAGAATAATATAATAGAAACTTTGAACTTAAAATTTTGATTTTTATCCCATAAACCCATATATCGCGATATCTATCGTATCGTGACCCTTGTATCGCGATACGTATCGTATCGTGGCATGATTGACGATACCCAGCACTAGTGTAGGGGCTATTGTGTCCATCTAGCTTAAAACTTTCCACATGAAGATGAGACCCACTTGTGTTCGGCTTGATCGCTCGGTAGATGAAGAGTTCGAATCACTTTACGGTCTTGCGTCTACTACATATACCATAAAACTTTAAACATGTACTAGTAACATGGTTACCGTGAGGAACAGAAGAATTTTTTTTAAAAGATTAGTTGGGACCCAAATTAAGAAAATGAGCACTGAATTTATACAAGAATTCGTCAAAAAGTTCTTCTTTTTACAAAACGTAAAAAAATTATAGTAAATCCATAGAAATGGTAATCTGATACGGAAAAACTCTAGCTGACATTACGCAATAATTCTGCCTTCCATCATTCTATTTTTTTTTCTGTCGGTTTTTATGGTGAAAATTCTTCCATAAATCATTTGATTCATAACTTGGAGATTATAGTGTAGGCTTTGGCCAGAGGCTGTAGTAAGGTTTTTACAAGTGTATTGTTCACAAATCCACAAGTTTGTAGTAGCTGTCATTCGTTTTTACGTTGAACGAGCAAAAACAGTTCTTCTTATTTACCACACGATGTTTCCGTTGATGAACAGTTTAAAATTGTCCCTATTGGCAATATCATTTTTAAATTGATAATTGAGAACTAAGACTATAATCAAGTGAAAAATATAGCAATCGAGAGTAAACAAGATCAATTATCTTGCAGGTTTTAACAATTAACACAAGTTACGATAAATTCTTAAAACTGACAATGAAATATAGCACATCAATGGATCCAAAATATAGCGGCGTCCCAATCGCCATTTTGAGCTTTCCGAGCTTTCAATTTTTCCTATATCTTTTTGATGTTTGGGCTTCACTGTTTCAACAACTTTACCATGTTATGGTTTAGCAGCAAAATTTTGTATTGAGCAATTAGATTTGGGAACTTTTGGAGAAACTTATGGTGTGTGGTATATTTATTGCACTGTTTGAAAATTTCAAACTGCATGAAAGATGTTTAATGCAGTATAACATAACAATCTTCTGCGAAGCAAATATGTTATGTTTGCTTAAGCCGAGGAAACAAACCTTCACAGCTACAGAACAATCTAGTCTTTTGTTTTTTATCGATTAACAATGAGACGGTACATTAGAGATTTCATTAAATCACTTTTTAAACAAGAACATCTTCTAATTAGATGTAACTGTTATTTTTAAACTCTTAGTTTTTTTTAATTGTCCCGCAATCAACAAGGAGAAATGTTATTCTTTGGATTAGTTTTAGTGGATTAGTCATAATGATACCTTTGTCTAGCCAAAGTGATACATTGGTCTAGTCATGGTGATACATTAGTGTAGTCATTGTGATCCACTGGACCAGTATAGCTATAGTGATACACTGGTCTAGTTATAGTGATGCACAGGTTGGTCTACACATAGTGATGCACTTGGTGTAGTCCTGGTGATACACTAGCCTAGTCATAGTGGAGCATTGCATGGTCTATAGTTATAGTGATTTACTGGTTATGATGATTGTGATACACTGATCTTGTCATAGTAATACACTGATCTAGTCATAGTGATGCATTGGTCTAGACAAAGTGATACACTTGTCTAGTCATAGTGATTCACTGGTTTATTCATAGTAATACACTGGTCTAGTCATAGTGATACACCGAGCTATTCATAGTGATACACAGAACTATTCATAGTGATGCATTAGTCTTCTAGTGACTGATCTTATCATAGTGACATAGTTCTCTGTTAAACTGCCGTGTTAATAATAACATTTATTCATCAAATGTCTACATCAACAGTCTAAGAATATACTATTTAATAAATGATGATTCCTTATAATGTTTCAGACACAAATAAAGATGGTGTTATAGAAAAGTGTGACTTTGAAGAAGCTGCACAGGTAAAATATTACGTCTCAGTTTATATTTAAAAGCAACAATCTATAAATAAATGTTATTCTTATCATTTATGTTAGACTAGCGTGGAACAGGGTTCAATTTGGTATCGAATCGTATTTGCAATCCACTATTCCCTATGATTAGCCGAAATAGAAATCTAGACGTCCGACGATCTGCAAATCAAATCAAATTGTATTTTCTTCGTGAGAATTTTATGCGAAATATATAAATACACTCTCAACAATTTCATAATCTAAAGGAGCTAACGGCTTGGTAAGATCAAGATCAGTCTGCAACTGGAACATTTTGAATTGCTGAATTTTTAGGAATTCCAAATCAAAATTTAACTTAAGTAGGCAAAACTCACTTTTTGCTATTCAGGGTTTTCATGTTTTTAAATGTAATTCATTACTTGAAATCGAGATTAAGCATGAAATGAATTAATTTTTATCTGAAAATAAATATTTTTTGCCAAAGTAATAGACGACATTGTATCATACCTAATTATCTTATCTTTCAGAAAATATGTAGTTTACATCATTGGAAACAAGGAGGTGATCGTTATAAATCAGCCGAAAAAACTCTTGCCTCAATTTGGGATGGACTCCGAAAATTCGCCGATAAAGATCAGGTATTGATTATGAATGAGCATTATCACACATTGTATTAATTGACAGTTTCGAAATGAGGACTTGGAATCTCAGATAATAGGGTTTGTGACGTCATAAAATATGCACCTAAGTGTATTGATGTTCAAAAATCAAAATAAATTTAATTTGGCCAATTCCACATGATGTACATGTTAAGTTGTTTTAAATAATACAACTTGTAAATCTGTATTAAAGGACCAAAAAATTACCAAAGAAGAATGGTTAGTTATGTGGGAAGATTGTTTAAAGAATATATCATCAGGAAAAGGATTTCCAGACTGGCAGAAACATTACATGGAATTTATGTTCTTAGCTAATGATACATCAGGTATGTGTTTGTCTTTGAGTGCTGAAATCTGGTGTTGATAAAACTAATGTTGTAAAACTATGACAGTTATTCCAGAAAGAACGGCAATGAGCAAGATTCCCGCCATGAAAATGGCCGCCGCCTAAAGTTGTTTATTATCATGAGTATATCTAATAAGCATAAAAGCTGAAGAGACTTTGATATTTTTATCAAAGTGTGTTGTCTGAAATTATCTGACATCAAAAAGTATATACAAGGTAATTTCTTGTGCTGAAAAATAGCCTCCGACACCCAGATTTCTCCTATCTTCGACGAGCAGTGCGTAGGTGAAGTGGGACTGGGTGATAGAGGCTACCAGAAATATGAAAAATCACCGCTAATTGTAACGTCGGCATCTTAATATAATGGTGTGGTAAAAAAAAATGCATTTGAGCATACTTAATTTACATTTGTGTGAATTACAAAGGCAATTATCTACTTTGTAATAGAGTAATTAACTACACTATAGTTTTTGCACCACAGATTTACTTTGCTACTCTTCGTTATACACCATTTCTAAAAGCCTGAAAGATCATCCCATTCGGCCAAACCTTCGGCAATGTTCGTAAGTTTCCATGAGTTGGTAACAAGCAGTTAACGAACCGAATTATTACGAGTGATGTCATCTCAGAATTACTTTACTTACAGGAGATGGATTTATTGATAAAGAAGAATATGTAACAATTTATAAGGTATTTGGTATGCCAGAGGAAAATTCATCTGCAGCTTTTGATCAACTCGCTAAGGTAATCACTTTAAATCGGTTATTTTGTTAATCTGTTTTGATACAAGGGTTAGGTTGATCGTATGATATCTGCATATATCGTTTATCTGTAATACCATCAGGATCAGGTTGTTTATCTGTAATACCATCAGGATCAGGTTGTTAATCTGTAATAATACCAGGGTCAGGATGGTTATCTGTAATGATGTCGGGGTCAGGTTGTTTATCTGAAATAATAACAGGACCAGGTTTATCTGCAATAAAACCTCGGTCAGGTTGTTTATCTGTAATAATACCAGGGTCAGGTTGTTTATCTGCAATAAAACCTCGGTCAGGTTGTATATCTGTAATAATACCAGTATCAAGTTATGATAATGATGATACTAGAATGGAAACGTATATTTAATGATCATAAAGTTTGGAAGTATTCCAGAGGATCCTATGGTTAATATGGTGGGAAGTGTCTTACACAATATCTTTTTAACTTTTTCTTTCTTTTGCAGGGCACAGAAGGCAAGATTTCATGGGAAGAATTTGAATCATTGTGGACAGAATATTTCACATCAGACAACCCATCTGCTAGAGGAAACTTTTTGTTCGGTCAGATTCCAGTTTGAATTATTGGGGTTAAAAACAATATAGTTTTAGATAAGCCATACGCCTCAGATCCTAGGACGGGTTTTTGAAGAATGATTTACGTGTGATTCCGTCTGGTGACTCCATCTATTGCTGCCCGATATGACCACAATGTCACGAGATGTATACAATGTTATCGTTGGTGCCCATTGGGGGTTATGTTTTGTTATATTTTATATTAATTTCTTGGTTTTTACATATGTCTTTAAAAAAAAACTATGTAATTGGTGTTTTGGAGTTGTAATTTGTGTATCTTTCGAGATGTTATTGTAATTTTTGGTGGGATATAAATATGAAAATATAAAGTTAGGTATGCCCAGATTAGTATCACAAAACACATAAAATACGTATAGTTATCTTAAATATGCATTGGTATGCAAAACAATTTTAATGCAATTAATGATTTCTGGTTTTATCTTGTTAATTAATAAGCAGAATTGAATCTTTAATGAGACGTTTTATCATTTAAAATATCCTGATATTGACACATTTTTTCTTTAAAAGACAGCTTAAAGTATAATTTTTGAAATTTCAACATCGTCTCAAAAGGTAGTTTGGAGAGCCCCCTCTGTCTTAAAAAATGTCATATGTAACTTGATATGGGTATTGATATTTTTAGGTTTTTCATTTTTACTTTAATAATATAGAATGTGTATGTTTATTGGTCATTGTAATTTTTCAATAAAACCCATTCCAAATTCCAATATTGTTTATTCTTCTTGCAGGTTTGTTTGCCATATTACACGTATTTAGACGTCAAAAGTATTAGTTTTAGGCCCGCAGCAAGACTTGATTTGGGGTGAGTAATATATCCGGAGGGGCATTGGTCTTTAGTGGAAGAATGGAATTAGGCGGTTGTCAGAGCAATTGCGGGGTTGATATTTCAAATGCGGAAGCGCTGTGGGAGAGCCATATTATTGAACCTTTTTTATTTGAAAAATAGAATTTCTTGTTCACCCTCTCGGTCACCACACCAGTGCAATGATTAAATGGGTCATATATCTCTGTCAAGTCAGACATTTACAATCGGCTTCTAACAATTATAAAAGATAACCATAATAAAATCTAAATTTATTTCACAAAAAAGAAACTAAAACATACTAACTTGGATGTTTCAAGTTTAGCTTAAGCAGATCGCAATGTTTACAAGACTTATGTAAACAAACAGAAAACAAAGATGTGTATCTTTTGAACAACCTTGAAATAAAAAGGAAAATCTATGTTTTAAGAAAATCTTTTACATCATATTTATTGTATTATATATAAATATTTCATCATTGAAGAGAAACATAATGCCCCATTCACATACACAACCACTAATATAAAAAAGAAACTTAATAAAAAAAACAATTAAATTGTATTACAATTTCATTTATTGTTCCTGAATGTTCTCGTCTAAATTGTGATCTAACAAGTTTTCTACCACAGTCCGGTCTAATAACGGTAGTTACAGCAAATCAAAGCACGTTATGTGCAACCCGTTTATTCATAGCAATGATGAATTGCGGGGTAGCGAAACCACATTAAAACAATATGACAACCTCTATGGGTTTCACTATGGCTGGTGGTCCTGCATCCTATCCAGTGCCCCTCATGAGATTTTGAGCAAGGAAACACATATTGTGTAGAATGTGTTACTCCTTTAGTTTGATATGTATATTCATTTAAAAAATATATAATATAGATTTTGTGCATGTGTATTTCCGAAATACATTTTTATATTGTGATGGACATTGACATCTTCACTGTTGTCCTAAATGAACTGTTTGTTTTATCTGAACTCAAATAATAATATGGTAGGGTAACAAAGGGGAAAGCTTCTAATATTGTACTACACATAAACATTGTTAAAATAAATGCCAATCCACTTAAAATTTAAATGTAAAAACTTATCGTTCATCACCAACATCAACTCAAAATATACAAATAATTATATACACATACCTACTAATATACAAATAAACATAGGTGATAAGTGATACTGGAATGATATATACAACATAATTAGACTATATTATATGGACTCAGACCACTAACACATTTTACTTGCATACGAATTTAGTCTGTGGTATTTTTTGAAATCCTCTTTCTCCCTTGCTTTGGGGGTTTTTGGCAAGCTTTTTATTGGCTTATTTTGGGAATTTGGTTTCTATAAGTCATGATGGATGGATATTTCTAAAAATAGTCCTTTTGTGAGCAGTTTCAATTTGACCCGCTCAAGATTTTTATGGCCATGATATATTTCCAGAAATTAAGTAATGGCCAAGCTTTCATGTGACACATTGGAAAAATGTCAACGATATTTCTGGAAAAAGTAAAAGGTTGAATTTCTTGATTTAACATGAAAAGAGGTGACAAATAAATTAGTGGTTTGGGTCCACAGTGCTTACAAATACTAGAGGTCTCATGTTGGGATATCAGATATCAGAAGTAAATTAATTAATACAAATCATGTAGATCAGATCTCAAAATTAACACCAAGAAAATCAAAGACTGTACATATTGAAATTTCATCAGCAACTTAAATAGAAATAATATGCTAAGACTACTGCCAAAGTTTTCCTGATTGCAGACTGCCATTACACCACATTACCATGTATATGTCCAAACTAGAACAATACAGAATTTTAAAGCGCAAACTTATGGGTAACAGGTAAATGGATTGAATTAAGCAGCAAAAGTTTTATTCTTTCCCTTTCAATAATAAACTCTGCACTAATCTACTTCCATTTATTGAGATTTATTTTGATACAATTGTCTAAAAAGTTAACTATACCTCTTTACTATACCTCAAATAAATAGGCACTTTTAGTTGATGTCCTAGATGTATAAAAAAAAATTGGCAATCATACTGTTAAAGCTTCCATTTTAACTATCAGTTTCCATGACTAGATATTAGATAATGCAATGAAATGATGAAGGCAAATAACAGTTCCTTATTCTATTCTAAATAATACACAAAATGAGACAAAAATTCAGTAAAATTCTCTGTATCTGTGTATGTGTATGTGGTTCCGTCATCTAACTTAACGAAAGTGACAATATGATAACAATGAATGATATGCTTTTTCCAAAATAAATAAATATACAGTAGTCATCTTAAATGATTTAAATTTCAGTAATTTGTATCACCTTCTAGAATGAAAATCTGGCTTACAGTTAGCTAACAATTATATAAATATACAGTCAGTGACAACAGTTGAACTCTACTAGTTTATTGTTAATAATGATGACAACCTTTAAACTGTTTATGCTTTTGCCTGCACTTGTTTAACAAATTGTAGACAAATTAGACATCGGATTTTCGTTTTGAAAAGTGATATGGATGGTAAGATTAAGCTATATCAGTTGCAATAAATATTTAGATGAGTATATCTTTTTAAAAGTTAATATAAATGGAGATCAATGAAGCCCATTTCCCAGTGAATGTTGATCTTTTACCCAATAAGTGATGACAATAGGATAAAAACACATTTTAAAACCAAATTTTCTCACACCACTAATCCAGCCAATGTCTCGACCATAATATCACAGTAACATCGTGTAACTTCATTTGAAGCAGGCTCCCACTTTCTACCATAACATTCTATAAGTTCCAATAAGGTACACCTGACTCTTGGTGGAGTTCTGAATAAAAATAAATAGAATTATATGAGGTCTGATCCTATATATAACATACAAATAGCTGAATTAAAAGATATCAAACTATTCCTTATAAAACCACAATATTTTTATTTCACTAGTGTAAAGTCAAAGTCGTTATCAAAATAGATCCTTAAGTCATTATATACAGTGAACCAAATCTTATTTGATCTATCTTAAATTTATTAATATTCTATACAAAAAATTGCGTCAGTACTTAGAGTTCACTTACTTTTCCATGACAATTTTCCTTCTGACTAGATCAAGAAAATCTGTCATTTTATCTGGTTCAATGGATTCTATTAATTTACCAACTGATTGCAACTGAAATTATATTATATCAATCTTCCACCATCTATATACTATGTATGCATGATTTTATAAAAGTCATGCTATAATTTCATAGAAACAATAGATATTAAAAGTTATATCAGAATGGTGCAAATAGAAACTATGATGTGACTGTATTTCAATTTCTCTTCGTAACTGATGTTCAACACTGGCTTTTAAGATATCAAATATCAAAACTTTCATATTAGATGTCTTTGTGTGGTAATTTGGGAAGAATGAATTAATTTTATAAAGCTATTAAGGGGAAATAAGTAGTGTTCACCTGTAACGAAATGCACTCAAATTCATCATCATCACATTTCTCATTTTCTGTATCTAGAACTAACTCACAAGTCTCTAATATTGGTCCTATTAAAGGCTTTATTGGTTCCCTATTACCCAATCTCACATTGCAGAATATCTGACATAAAAATGTAAAAAATCCTAGAAATCGACTAGTAGATTCAGCCCTTATCTCATTTTTCACTGAAAATATATAAGAGTAAAATATAAATGGCTTGTGTAAGAAATAATGCCAACAAGGTCAAAAAAAAACCATATTGTTATAAATACCACAACAAGAACCATGAATTATTATTTTTACATTGAAAAATTGTCATAATGTTAATAACATTCAAACAGCAAACAGTCAGAGACAGAATTTTTTTCCATAAGAAAGCAAGGATTCCTAACTGACAAAGAACACTCAACCCTTTAAAAAAAAGGCCATTTATTTGCTACGTATCTAGTAAGCTTAAGTAATAAATATTCACTGGCTTATAATTAAGAATAGTTCATAAAACTCTGTCACTTCAGCGCCAGAGTCAGAAAACGGGGGTTTCTGCTTAAAGTTTTCTCACCTTTAAAATCAGCTTGGACAAGACCCAATAAACTGGATCTAAATTTAACGCCATCAGCTTCTAAATTGGACATTTTTTGAGCAACAAATGATCCAGATTCTGCCAGCTCTCTATCTTTCAAACATTTCTCATAAATAATTTTAGCTAAACGAGCGATATCTTCACCACTCTTACATATCTCTTCTGATATTCTAGTGAGATCTTTGAGCTGTTTTTCATCAATATCTAATGATAAATTGGCTACAACTTCTTCTATATCAGATACAGAATTGTTCCTGCCTCGAAAGTCCTGAAATCATAATATTATACAAACGTAAATAGAGTGTTAATAAGAAGGAATAAGATTAGAAGACATTATTTAACAAAAACACCTATATCTAAGTTTATAGTCTGTGTATGAAAAAGAAAAGAGCAGTTGGTTGAAACAGAAGTCTGGAAGATAAGATCATAAATTGTGATTCAAACCTAGATGGACTTCAGTCTTCAGCTGCCGACAAAATTTGTCAAATGTGACAAAATCTTAGTGAGACAGTGATAGTGTGTTAATCTAAGTGAAATTAGCTTTGTCAAACCTTATATTTCTAAATTAACACAAATCATATACACTTGAATTACTTTTTGAAAATTTAATTGAATGCTTTTTTGAAACAGGAATGATTCCTTTGATAGTGGTCAATTTAACTATGTGCAGTGCAGATCAGATTCAAACAGATGTAGAGTGTGACATCACGGTGTTGGAAGGCTATATCACCTTCAATTCGCAGTTTTCCATATATTTTAAGAATCAATAAATTGAACTACCTTCTTGTTCGCAGCTGTTTCACCTGCTCCTCCAGAAATATGGTTTAAAATCTCAGAATTAAGCACCAATCCCCGTCCCCTACCTCTACCACGACCGGCCATGTTTGTTTTTGATGTTAACGTCCAGAAGAGTTATCTTTTCTTTAATCCGAAATCATCTACGTTAAAAGTTAAATACTGGTTAGGCTTCAGATTTTCAGCGAAGCTTGCAGGTTGTCAATTTGAACTAGAACCACTGGCTTCAAGAACGACTTTTTCACGACATGTTGAAATTTGACGATTTTTCGATGAAGGTTTTTATAGTTATTGCCATAAACTTTCATAGAGTTATATAGAGAACTATAATTATTGCCTTTAACTTAAAGATAGATTTTCTTGACCTTTCTTGATTGGTCACTCATTGGAATTCTGCAGGTAATTCTCCTCTGATATAGCTAATTATGAATTACTTATGCACATGTGAGACAAACTGGTATATATTGGTACCTCTATATACTTTCTATTCATAAAAGTATTAGTATTTTCTTTTGCATAAATGAAAATAAGGGAACCCATCTTTAAAAAAATGACTTTTAGCAGGTACTGTACTCTCTACTCTTAGTATCCCGTTGATTATCGATTTTAGCCAGTCCCTTGTGCTAATCCTAATAAAGTGGTTATTATTATCATTATTAATAAAGAGCATAATATTATTATAATTCTCAGCGTTATATTTCGGATTACCAATAAATAGCGGGGAGGCAACTCTTCCAACTATTCTAATCAGAGTAACTTCCCTTTTCAAGATTTAAGCGGAAGAAGAAATATTTAGCGAATCGCCCAATAGAAAGTTTCAAACAGAATAGTCACAGTTTTTGAATTGGTCGCCATTGATATTTGTGTTTACACAAATTCCCGGCATTTTTATTCAACTACTGGGTAATTATTATAAGTTTTTTTTATGCTTTCTGCTTAATGGCCTAGCCTGGAATAGAATACTGCTGGGAAATCTGTCGAATCTGATAAGTGAAAGAAAGGAATTCGAGAAGGTCAAAACATGATGAATGAATGAATTTGAAAACGAAATAAAGATTTTGAAATCATTCTACATCTAATGTTTTAATAGATATATTGTGCTCTTTCGACAGGTTACATTATATACAACTTGATTTCAGATCAGCTACATTAGGCCTAGAGGCTCAGTGAGGTAAAAACCTGAGCTTTCAGAGGGGTCTAGCCCAGCATGGGTCATTCTTCCTATTTTTCATCGGTCATTGCATCTTCATTTGCCCAAATAGGTGCAGGAACAGAAGATATTTCATTTTCACATTGTTATATTAATTTTAAAGGATGACATAAATGTATTATTAGGTTACACTACAGACTCTTGATGTTCTGTCGATATTGATAAGGGGCAATAGGCTTAGGAAGAAAGTACCGTCATTGGCTGGCGTCAACAATTTCCAACTATTCATTATTAGTACAACTTAGTTATACTGATATTTCAGAAATATAACGTGCAAAACTGCCCACTTGGCTATGAATATGAAATTTATTGAAATCAAAATATAGATGAAAACATTTTACAAAATGTTATAAAGAATGAAGAATGTGTGAATAAGGTTATATGACAACTTGTCCAAAGTACAACACACAGACCAAGATCAATGATATAATGAGATATTTGAAACAATATTGAAAGAGAAGAATATTTCTGATTACTTAATTAGTAAACCAATTACCCTCTGATTGTCATTCATTGTTCAATCTGAATCTGTTAATTTATAGCATTTTTCCTATTACTAATCCCATTTAGTAATTCAATATGATGAAAAAAAATTGGGGTCTTATCACAGCAGATATATCTATGATTTTTTAGGTTAATGTAATCCAAATAATAGTCGTTAGTTGGCCTTACTGATGATCCAGATCTGATAAGTCAGTTATGTTATAATTTCAGAAATTTTGGAATTTAAAAAGCCAAGACCATGGAACCAAAGAGAGTATTAAAGCCAGTGAACACAAGTTCAAGCTCTATGGATACTATGGTGAAAAAAGATCACACACATTCTACATCCAGTGAGTGTGATAATGAAAACAATCCTGGACCAAGGTGAGATCTTGTGACTTTTTTCATGTAGTAGATCACAGATGACGCTGTTAATGAAATACTTATGTTTCAAAGAATCTTTAGTCAAATAGCATGGCTGTGTTTTGAAGTAAGTTTAAAAAAAGTAATTTCTGACAGATGTAAAATTCTTTGTAGATCTGTATGGAGTTTGGAAGATTTTGATATTGGTAAACCACTAGGTAAAGGTAAATTTGGTAATGTGTATTTAGCTCGAGAGAAGAAGAGTAAATATATAGTAGCTTTAAAAGTAAGTTAAGATTTGTTTTGGTTCACAAGTCATACTCTGAGAAAGAGAGAAATATACACATACAATAACCAAATATTAGGAATGGATATGCTCACTATGTACATAAAAGGTTATTGTTATTGTAGCTCATATATGGAAAGGTTCATGTTGGTCGCTTTTTGTCATATTCATTGATAAAAGAACATCACTCTTCTTAACCTGTCATGTGTTTGTAGGTATTGTTTAAATCTCAGTTACAAAAAGCCAGTGTTGAACATCAGCTACGAAGAGAAATTGAAATACAGTCACATTTACGGTTTGTAGATAATTACCTATTAATATTTTTACTGAATGAAAAACATTTTAGCCTGTCTTGGTTTTATTTCCTCTTCAATTCCAATTCAAGTTTGATTAAGGTTAATACGGTTTATCATTCACATTATTTTGTTAAATTAATTGCGAGAAATTGGAACATAAGATTCTAATTTCAAAAGATGATTTATAAATGAAATTTAGACCTATAAGCTGTAAAGCGAGTATGGGTATATCACTATGAAATCATGATACAATGAAAAGAGCTTGCTTTAGCATACTAAAATCATACTACTAGAGGTGTATTATTTTATTATGAATATTGTTATTTCAGTCATCCCAATATTCTACGACTGTTTGGTTATTTTCATGATAAAACCAGAGTATATCTCATATTAGAATATGCACCTAAAGGAGAATTATACAAAGAATTACAGAAAAATGTCCGCTTTGATGAGAAAAGGTCTTCTAATGTAAGTAAGAATGTTTGATTTAAAAAAAAAGGTTGGTAACACAATCAATTTCTGGTTTTCACATAATGTTTGGAAGGAAATAGGACTAAATCATCCTAAAAAGGTGTTGTAGTGAAGTATTACTTGCATAATATACGAAACACCTGAAGTCCACAATTTCGATTGCCTTTTCTGGACAGTCTACACAGTTTATATTGTTTACTTGGAATGTTTATTGCTATATAGATAAGCTTGTAGTTATATAGGATTAAGCTATTACAAGGTTATTTTATTTTTCAGTATGTACGACAGTTAGCAGAAGCATTAATGTATTGTCACAGTAAACGTGTTATACATAGAGATATTAAACCAGAAAATTTGTTACTCAGTTTACGTGGTGATCTCAAAATAGCTGATTTTGGTTGGTCAGTTCATGCCCCATCATCAAGGTAAACATGATATTCTTCATTCTTAAACTTCTGTTTCTGAACTTGCTGACTTTTATCTAGACAAAGGTTGAATCCCAGCATAGGTGACAAATACACTGCAGATTTTTTAAATTAGTTTTAGCTTGTTAGTGATTCAGGTCGGAGTGGCTGACATTGAAAAAGCATGTAGTTATTCAGAACAATAAACTAAGACCCTTATGCTAAAGGCTTTGCATGTTTAAAGATCCCTCGACAGTTGAATCAAAAAAGAATTGGCTAATGCCACTGTCTGGACAAAATTTCCATCATTGCACACTGCCTGGCATTGGCTGTAGCCCAATTAGGTGCAGAAAAGGAGAGCATAGAACTCATTAATTTCTTTCTGTTTTAACTATATGATAACCATTTTGTTTTTCAGACGACAAACATTATGCGGCACCTTGGATTATCTGCCCCCAGAGATGGTAGAAGGTAAAATGCACAATGAAAAAGTTGATCTCTGGAGTCTGGGTATATTGTGCTATGAGTTTTTGGTTGGAAAACCCCCATTTGAAGCTGATGGTCACTCAGAAACATATCGAAGAATTAGTATGGTGGAATATACATTCCCTAATCATGTATCAGAAGGAGCTAGGTCTCTCATATCTTCAGTAAGTCATGGTTTTGTCTACTGTCGCCTGTGACAGCATGAGATATTCCAAGCACAATTTACACAGTAAATTGAAACATAAGATAAAAATCAAAATACATCATTTTATTCATCGAATCGCCATGACATCCAATAAAAAGTTGGAACAGAGTTCAGAACGCAATCCAACTGTGAAGAAAAAAATAACAGGTTCAGACAGAATTCAAAATGGAGAAGGGAAAATTTTGAATCTGGTTCCCTGCCGTTGATTGATGCCCTAATTGGGAACAAACAGAACTCTCCAATCAAGCACCTCCCTTGTTTTTCATTAGGCCTTGGTTGATGTGCACAGAATAATATATTGTCATTTATTTCATCAAAGTTTATTGCAAGCAATGTTGTAGACGAAAAAAGTTATACTGTACTGGTGGCTTATGATCTTCATTTAAACAGAGCTTCACAGACGATTAAAATAACTCTCTTTTTTTATCTTTTCAGTTGTTGCGTCATGATCCAAATAAAAGACTACCGTTGGCTGAAGTGTTAAGACATCCATGGATTACTGAAAACTCTATGATGGGTAGAACACCAGCTATGTCAACTTCTTCATGATTTACTCATATCTAACTCATGGCAATTTAATGTGATTCAAGAAAAAAAATAACTGACTGTTGTTATAGTTGACAATCATTTCAGAATCGGACAGGATTTTGACTATTTTCAAAAAAACAGTGATTCATGCATTATTTATATATCTATACTTTCTTGATCTTCACAATTTCAAGCTCTTACAAAGTTCGTCTTTATATCTTAACTCAAGTCAACTTTCTTGTGTCAGGAAAGTTTGTAAATGCAACCATTTGATTGGCTATATTATTTGCATACAATCCAATCAGAGGCCTCAACAGAAAGTCTGTAAACAATAACCCAAAATGGTTAGTCTTTATTTCAAAGACATTGAATGTCTTTATTTGCTTGGTTACAATTCAATCAAATCGCTGAATCCCATGATACAAGAAAGATAAAAGGTGAAGTTTGTAATAGCCTGACATTGTGAAGATGAAGATTATGAATTTAAAGGCATGCTAACCATAATATATATATATATGTTCTAAAATAGGTTAGGGTTAGGCATGTGAAGAAAGAAAATATTTTGCTGTCAAATTTTCTATTTTTTAACACATAATCTAAAGAAATAATAAAAAAAATTTTGATACTCTGAAATGAGTCGTGTATCTTAGTTTATGTAATATTTTGTTAGTACCTAAAATTTTTAAGAACTCGCTTCTCATTTTTTTTTCAAGCATTTCAAATTGATCTAGATTCTTGTGATAATTCTCTTGAAGTTTTGAGGATCTGATGAAAAAAAAAAAACAGTTTTCAATCATTAACATGTAAATAAACGTACTGCCTTCTATAAATATTTTTAACCTCTATTATATATGTATATTTACAAGATGTATCATAATCTGAATAGTGCTTTTCATTTTTTAGGTCTTTCTTCATTTCCTTATATTTCATTCCATTTTTGGTCATGGCTTACTCTAGCTCTTGTTTTTCGAATTTTTGAGCAAAAATCTTTGTGCACATCTAACAAAACATTATGTTTAGATTGTTTAACATAGTAACAAACTTAAATGGATTGTAAAGAGGTTTACTAAAATATTGTCTTTATTGATGACACTGATAGCATCAATTTGCACTATCAGACATCTGTGGTTATTGCAATTCCATTTAAACGAGTTTCTATTCTACAAAAGCCTATTTTAAGTGAAATTGCTGGAACCACAGATGTCTGATTGAAAATTGGAATGGTGCAAATTGATGATATCAGTGTCCCTAATACACATAAAAACTTTAGAAAACCTCTTTACAATCCCTTTAAATTACTAAATATTCTACCTCACAAAGAAGTGCACCATTTGTTTGTGCTTTGAATCTCCCAATACATGCAGAAATATCTTTACTAATTCTTCAATTACTTTATAGTCTTCTGAGTTAAATAGTAAATTTTTAGTTTCACATTTGAGAATAATAATTTTTACCTCAGTGTTTCTGTAGCTCGATTCTAAATGTAAATTAATAAAGAGGTTTTTTTCTATTATATTTTCAAAAAAATGTAATAATAGTTCTATATGTATATTATATAAATGTAAATAGATTATATTTTGAATTGTGCTCATCAAGATTAAATATTTCTTGGTTTTATTTTGACTTGTTACTATGAATGGAGTTTTACGTCCTACTTTTCTGCACCTTGTGGGTAACGCCATGCAATGAGGGTCCTATCTGAACGACTAGACGCTTTTCCATGTCAGCCCCTTACCTGCATCAGTGACTGGCTTGAAAAATTCAAAGGTATTATCTTGACCTATCCCAGGATTAAACCCTGGACATTCAGATTAGCGAGCAAGCTTCTAACTCACTGAGCCACCGCAGCTCCCTCTATCTCAAATTAAAAGATGGAGATAATACCTTCAGTTTTCTCAACCTAGTTCCCCCCTTGTCCGTGATGCAGGCTTACAAACTGAGGCTCATGTACTACTGGCTGTGAATGTGCTCACTGTGGTCTGTCTTCATCAGGTTGAAAAAAAAACTTCATTCATTTCATTTAACTTCAAAGCATTCAATTGTCACCTTATGCAGGCCACAAGTTTGTCTATCCCAGAAAGACTGGGTGGTAATCCATGTAGCCACTACTGACCAGGTCAAAAACCTGCACCTGGATCAATCCTAGGAAGACGGGGGCTGATTTATTCTCACGCGGATGACAAGTACAAGTAGTCAGGTAATGATATAGCAGCCAATCAGGCATGACAGAAAGACTCAATATTTGCTGGCGTGCAATCCAATCAAATTGCTGTATTCAATACAAGAAAGGCAGCAAATGGAGTTAAGTCACTAACTAGCTTCTTAAATGAGAACAAAATAACCAGAATATTTTTAAATGATTTATACAGATGAATAAGCAGATGATAATAAATGAATACAACTAAAATATTTCACAGTAACAAATTTAAACAGCAAAATCAAGGATCTTTTTCTTGTATTGTCGCCTTTGAATTATCAAATTTTTCTTTTTTCCATGAACCTGAGCACACATCTGTGAAATATGTTGTATCATAAGACTTCTTCATAATAATAGTTTGGATTTCTGACATTATACAAGTACAAGGTGAACACTGTACAGAATAAAGTCAAATCAAAATATTTTAATTTGTTACATGTTATATATTATGAAATGAGTCAAATGAGATGTAACACATGTTGTAGTTGGATAGGTTTTTTTTTCATAACACAACAAATGTCCCCAAAGAAATATGCAGATGATCCTACTTGGGAATATGTCCCTGTGGTTGAAAACCTACGTTTTTAATTAGATACTACCACATATAATTATTTTACATGGATACAATATATGTTTTTTTTTTGGTACATTAATTGACACATTTTGACTTCACTCATCAGTCTAGCACTTATAAATTTGGATATCACTTGTTTCAACGACGTTTTTTCTTTTTATCCTTCGAGTGGCCATGCGAATGTCCGTGGGAATCACTTCTTTTACGTTTTTTCTCTGGTCTGTATCTCTCTACTACTGGCTCTTGGTCTTTTTCCAAATCAGCTGCAAAGGAAATATAGTTGTCTTTCAATTGATTTTCTAAATTTTGACGGTGAGCTGTGAAAACTATTACTGTTTAGCTAAGCTAAAAAAAATAACAGTTTCTAAGACTCAGTGACCATTGGTCAAACTGATAACGAACCTGTCACCTGAAGCTAGGAATGCAACATTTATACATACCTTTTCTTGCTTCTTCTTCTAATTCATCCCAGTCTTTACCACTTTCTTCACTTGATCCCATTTCTTCTGATTCTACAAGAAACATGCAGGTAATGAATTACCAATATTCAGTTAAAAAAAACCAGAAACTATATTAATATTTTGAAGTTAATTTTAGTTAGTATTTTAATGTCAATAAAGGTTTAATCCTTGTTCAGTTTTTAAACTGTTAAACGAATCTATGGTACATGCTCCCTGCTGAAAGCCAGGGGCAAAGTAAATTTGAGCAATTCACATTTTAAGTAGATGAACTAAACTTTGTTAATCTATCATTATGTCGAAAAAATTAATGAGATACAAACCTGAATCTTCTTCCTCTTCCCAATCACTTTCTGCTTCTTCACTATCTTCCGAACTTTCTTCTTCAGAGTCTATATCACTTGGTTCAAACGCACCATCATCTTCATCAGAATCATCGTCATTTCCTCCTTCAGCCTGTTGTAAATAAACACTTGTGTCATGTAAAATAGACTCTGACTGGGACTATTTCATGAACGCTTAAAGGAGCTTTCTTTTTTTTTTTACTGTGTATTAGGACAATTGATAGTATCGATTGGTACCATTCCTATTTTCAGCCAGATGTTTGTGGGTCTAGGCATGATGTAGCTATCGTAAAGGACCTTAAACATTATTAGCAGCTTTGTTTATAGGGATCTTTAAAACATGAAAAGGCCACTTACAGAAACCATAGACATCTGATGGAAAATTGGAATGATGCAAATTGATGCTTTCAGTGTACCCAATACACATAAAAATTTAGAAAACCCTTTCAAAATCCGTTGAAGACTATTTCAAATTAGATCTATCACTAACATCGATTTTAAATTTAGCACAGATTGCTGTATTTCATGAAATAAAATTTATGTATTTCATGTATAAAACTATAAATCATTTTAGAATACATACATCACTTTCTGGATCTAAGAAAGTCCAGCCACCATTATCAAAAAATCCTTCAGGATCATCAGTAATAGTCTTCATGATCTTGGTCCAATTTAAACTCTGTACACCTTCTGTATAGCGAATATCACATGAACTGAAATTAAATCAATAGGATATTAGTAACACACTGATAATGAGGTGAATGCGGATTTAATCCCCCCGATGTTGTTTTCAGCTAGTGTTGTGTATCGTCCATCATGCCAAGATACAATACGTATCACATTATGGAGTAATGGAATAAAATTTTATCTTCAGAGTGTCAATATCTATTAATTTATAACTGTGATAGAAGTGGTTAATGTCCACTGTCTTAAAAATAGTTTCCAAAAATTTCACGCAATTTTTGAAAAATGCGATTCTATTTACCAACTTATATAAATCCCCACCCTTTTATTGAAGTAGAGGTATCTTCAAGTTTCGATACACAATATCTTAATACGATTCGTCAAACGTGGCATTTGGTATCGCCATACTTTGATTCACCAATATATCATGGTAGCACTAATCACAGCTTAGCTCAAGTCCACAAATTGATTGAAAATCAAACTGTTCCATATTCTAACTTACTTTAACCATTCTTTCACATGATCTAAAACTTGCATTGGAATAGAATTAATCATGGCTGTCTTTTTACTGTAATCTTTAAATACAAATATCATATCGAAATTCTTCAGTTGAAATGAAACTCTCTCAAAATGTATCATTTCTACAGAATCCAGGGTTACTACAAATGGAGGCTGAAATAAATTAGGACAAAACTTGATAAATTTGTTGAATGAAAATCGCATAATTCCTTCAAAAATACTTTCTGTTCTTAAAAATCTCTTTTCTCATATATGAAAGTCTCAAGAAAAGGTGAAAACCATTACTGATTAGCTTAGCTTAAAATTCCTGTATCTGGGATTAAGGTACAATTGATCAAATCGATGGTGAACCTGAAGCAGTAAATTCATGACTCTCAAATGAAAAACTCCTTACCCATTCTGTAAAATTGACAATACAACCACTAGTGGGCTGTAGAAACACTGTACTTCTGAACGGAGCTCCGTGGAATCCAAGTTCTCGGAATGGAGAGTCGAACTCTATTTCTTGTTTTGTTAACGACTCAACTTTCTCACAGAAATTCTTAAAGGCAGACTTCAATCTTTGTCTAAGTTCCCTTTCAGCCTGAAAACATTAATACATGATATATAGAAGCTGCCTTAGACTGTATACTGTAGTTACCAATACCTAACTACTGAGGGTGATAAAGACGATCAATGAAGCAAAATAAAAGGAAAACTTTACTGGATAGTTTCTATATACGTAGATTACCAGCTCAATTGATTCTATGAGAGGCAATTACATGTAATCAACAGAATAAGATGGGGTTTTATTATAGCTGAGAAAGCAAATATCAATGCTAGTTAGATCCACTGGGGTCTCTCAACAATTTAACAAAGATGAAATCCAGATTTAAAGAAATACTGCATTGGATAATAAAAAAAATTTCAAATTGATCTTAATTAGTTGACCGGAATACTAGAATCATCCAAAGTTTAGTTTTTGAGAATATAGACCTGGATTAATAGTATGATCTGAATTAATTTAATCAACAATACCTGTTCAGCATGTAAATCATCTCTATCATGCATGTGTTGATGTTTACCTAAATCTGTAGTTATTTCACCAACTTCAGTATAAAACTGTACGTCTATATGTTTCTTCTTACCAAATAATATAGCATTCTAGAATAAAGAGGATTATTCTTCACACTGTGACCAATAACAGTACATCTTTAAGAATCAAATTAACTGAGTGGAGTTAACCCATTGAGCTCATGAAGAAGGTAAAAGCCATGCAGTGCGCAATGAGGGAAATTTTGCCCAGCTGAAGCATTAACCTATTTTTTGTCTGTGTCAACTTGTTAAGAGATCTTTAATCTTTAGCACAAGGGATCTCGGTTTATAATCCCATACGAAAGACATAAAACCTGAAGGTTTTATCTTGACCTATGCCGAGAAAAAATGCTGGACCTGCAGGTTAGCGAGCAAGGGTCATTTTCACTGAGCCACATATACATAAATATATATGATGAGAAATGTCCGTTAACAAACCTTTAAATGAAAATGTAACAATATAATCATTTCTTTATCACAAGGTTGAAAGAAAGCATGTTTCACATTATTATATAAAATATCTACTTTATCTCCCCGCACAGACGTGAATCGGAAACCTGAAAAATACAGTGTTATCAAATTACCATTGCTAATAGATTCAAGAGATGTCATCCTATTGTTTTGGCGGAACTTTATATGTCAGGGGATTGAATACAACAGAGAAAGCAAGTCACTAGAACATTCTTTGAGATCATTGAGTCTTTAAGTTTCTGCTGCCAAAACATGACATAGACATAAAACCATTTCAAACTTATGATGGGTGCAAATTATATAACTTTTTGTTAATATTCTCAGGCACAAGTAAACGATTTTTGGCGCCATTGGGTCTAAATCTGGTAATATATAAGATTTAAAGAAGCTATTTTATAGAACAGTCAGAGATACATAGCATATCTTAAAATCTTCATATATATAACTGTGTATTTACCATTAGTATGTGCCTCTAGTGCTCCAGATATACGTTTAGACACTATATTAGGTCTTATATATAAATCTTTCAACTTGGGATTACCACGATTAGGGTTGACTATCAGAGTATCTTGTTTAACTATACCCTAAAATATCAAAGAATTGATCAGTTATTGAAAAGTTGAAATTGATGTTTTTTTGATGGTTCGGTCTGAAATGTAAATAAATATCCCATAATGATAATGATGTCTCATAATAATGTCCCATATTGATAATATTCAATAATAATAATGTCTCATAACAATAATGTCCTATAATAAAGTCTCATATTAATAATGTCCAATAATAATGTCTCATAATCATTTCTCTGATATTAGATTTATGACTATTAATAATAAAGTCTCATATTAATAATGTCCAATAAAGAACCTCTAAATAACATTCAATCATCACAGTTGATGAATTGAGGGAATGTTTTTTACCTCCTTTTCTTTCTCTTCAGCTTCTCGTGTTTTGAATTTTTTCTGAACTTCTTTTATCAGACGGAAAGCTGTGTTTAAATTTGATGAAGGTGCAGATAACTCTCCTGGTTCTTTAGTATTAGAACTTCTGTATGTACTAGAAAATATATTAAATAGCATACATCAGTTGTAGAAGTTGAAAGGCAAAAAGTTATATTTGTATTGTATGTCAAACTTTTAGTTCCCTGATCAAAGTGAAGTAAATTGTGGTCTTTAACCTTACAGTAGTGGACAATTTTTACAGGATAACATTAACCTACTCCTGATCTATTTCCAGTTGTAGGATATTTTTAATAAACAAGGACCTATGCTGGTAAATTGGTTCTATACTGTGTCTCATCCAAAGCCAAAGACACTTTTCCAATGTCAGAATCTCTAAAATATTGGACTGAAAAGTGATGATTTTAACTGAGAATCGTCTTCAACAAGCTACTTACATTTCTTTGAGAAAGTTCATATCAGCATTAGGTAGATTATTACCATCTTTACCGAGAGTTGCTCCAGGGTGGAAGAAATTAATACGTAGATAGGTATAATCTCCTTCTACAGACTGACTGATATTCTACAATATACAAAATAACACCATGTTAACTCCTAAACCTAGGTATCTTATCTCAGTCGACGTATGAAAGTCTAGTGACATAGCAGACATCTTTCCACAATATTCTAGTGGATCCAGGAAGATCGATGCTAGAGGTTTCATTAAGGACCAGCTAATAGACAGAATTCTTGTGAACTTAGAGGCAAGCTACCTTACAAGGTTTATCTCTGAACAATAAGCAGAAGTAACTAGGTAAGAGTAGTATAAATAAATATCTGAACAAAATGAAAGTTTACCTTGATAGTGGCTATATGAAAAGGTGAAGCTGATCCAAACACAGGTAAGATAATAGTTTCATATCTTTTATCTATAAAAGAAAATAGAATAACATACTAATTTATTCTGACAATACAATACAACCGTCTGCTTGCTATTTAGAATATGCATATGTTTTCTGCCCTTATAAAATTTGAGTTTATATAAAATAGACGATTACTGAAAATTTGGCGTTAACTGTACCAATTTTTCAGAGAATAATTCTGAGGAATATATCCTTCTACAAAAAACGTTAATAAAACCTACCAACATATATCTGTAAGTCCCTAACTTCAGGTTCATTGGGGAAATTGGAAGGATTTTTATAAGAGGTATTTGATTTACGAACTCTGAAATATACAAAAGCATGATTTAAAATCTGATGAAATTCAATAAAACAGATATGAGTTTTGGTTTAACAAAAACCACGTTAGTTTTTACTAGTTTTATTTCAACCGTTGTAATTTACAGTGTGTTTGTGTGCGTAAAACTTATACTCACTTTTTATCATCTGAATCTGTTTTCTGTCCTCTATATCTTTCTCTAGCTTCTTCATTCATTCTCAAAGCCAATTCTTTCTGATGTTCTTGACGCTTCTCTTCAGTAGATAATTCAGTCTAAAATAAACAGATTTTACAATTTTATACAAGATAAGAAACCTTCACTTGAATCAGATGGGCTTTTATCCAGTCAAATTAAAATTAGACCAAACTTTTGATTCATTTTTTTTAATTTTTATTTTAGCCACTTTAGTTAGGGTCTTAAGACAGGCCTATTAAATATTCATCAATATATTATATTGCCAATCCCTGTGTTGGAGAGGATGGAAATTTGATATGAAACGTGTTCTGAACTCTCTTGTATTATTAACGTCAAATTGATTTCATGAATTCTGAACGTGCAGAACTCCTCTTGGAAGAAAAAATGGCCAAAAGAAAACTATAGTACCCTTGTTCTGGTATCAAGCACAGCATTACGTTTACCACGACCATATATTTCAGTATTTGGTTTGGATGGAGAAACTTCTTCTTCCTCATCCTCTTCTTCTTCATCTTCATCATCTTTCAGGAAGATTCCAATATGTTTCACTTTCTTCTTCAGATTAGTAAGAATAGAAGCAGCAGCATTCTGCAAAATAATTCATATATAAAGTAATGGGATAATGATGGGCAATATCATTCAGTTTGCAATGAGGAAAATTCTTCATAAAATGTTGCATTAACCCTAGAACCTATTCTTTTTTAATGTAACTGTTGAGGGATCAAGCTCAACTTGAAGCACATGACACATTATGTCCAATCCAGGGCTAGCTTTTTTCCCATGTCTCAGAGAGGTTGAAGTCAGTCATCTATGATAAATATAAAGCCATGAATAAACATACCTCATTGACAAGTACAGTATCACCAATAAACAAAGCATAATTCTTCTTAGGAGATTCATTGATATCTTTCGCTACTAAACCACTTACTCCAACATTAACATTGAATACCATACCTAAATCATATAAAATTCTTCACTAATCTTAACCTTATAAATCTACTGTTCTTCTACTTCCAAATCAATGAATATAAACTAACTCTAGGTTACATAAGTCAGGTTGTTTCTTTAAGATAAAACAAACAAAACAGATCATTGAATCATCAACTTACCCTTTTTAGCAGGAGCATTAGTTTTAGCTGAGATAAGTAATGATCCTTCTCTGAATTCAATACCCATGGCAAAACCAAATGATTTGGTGAGATTATCAACTAAACCTGGTCTTTCTTTTTTAACTTTATTATAACCAGCACTATATACTTCACTTAACTTGGTACCTGTAATAAACAAATTATATTGAGCTTGTATTTCAAGTCAGCCATCTTGTTTCTTCCCAGTTCCACAGACGTGATATTGTGACAAGATAAGGCCAGACATCATGTTGTTTATATGGGATTCAACAAAGCTAGTATTTATATTCAAACGATTTCTTGACCTTCCAGTTTTGGCTTTTCACATTTCATGTAAAAGGTAATTTATATACTATAGTGCAAGACATGTCTTGATCAGCATCTGAAATTAAGATGTGTTACATGACTGACTAAGTTCTATCTTTTAGTTCTAACAGATAATACACACTGATAACACTTTTCACAAATCTTACACAAAGTTACATATTTCTTCTAAAGCAAAGTACAGAAGAAGCTGATGGATAAACGGAAAGGCCAAACATCAGGATATTTTTTTTCTCAGCAAGAAATGCAGAGGATCATTTACTTATATAACATCCAGAAAACAGCTTTAAGTCACTCTGAGCTTAAAAAGTGGAAAATTTGCCCTCCTTACCATGTTGTAATTTGGCTATGATCTCCTCTTCAACTAATGTAAGAAATTCATAATCTTTCTGAATCTGTTCTGATGGGTCAACTAATAATGTTCGAACTATGTTTGAACAATATGATTTATATCTAGCACCCATAGCACAAACTATCGCCCCAAAATGTAGGTATTTTTCGTCACTGAAAAGCAGAAGTGCTTGAAAATAAATTGGCAATAAAATTATTATATGAGCCGCAGCAATGTTATAGATTTAGCTATAAAAGCATTGTCTGATCAAACTCTGAAAATGCTCAGTTATAATTTCATTTTGTAGTAAAATGTACGAAAATGTAGTAGGCTCACAAAAGGTTCCAAATTCGACAACTATAAAATACATTGGCGAGGGCATAATCAGATGGAATAATGCATACTAACCTAACAGTACTAAATTTCAAACTATAATTTCCACCACTCTGTATTATAGCAGGATAACACATATCTAATTGTGAACTATCAACACCTGTTACATATTTCTTATTCTGTAAGGCCTGTTCTACACCATCAGCAAGCTTAGAATGTTTCACTTTCTGTAATAAGAACAATCATAATTCACACAAGGGATCTTTAACATATACAGCCTGTAGCAAATGGGGCCTCGCTTAAATGTCATTCAGACTGGAAGCTTATTTCATGTCAGCTATTAACGGCATCATTGACAAGGGGGAAATAATGGTCAAAATATCCAAAGATATTATCTAGACCTATGCCAGAAATGAAGACTGGACCATCAGGTCAGAGAGCAAGGGGTCTTAACTCACTTGGCCATAGTTTGAAAGTAATTACCTTTTCAGCATCAATAATTTCCATAATTTGTTCTTTTAGGTATTTATTAAATACATCACAAGTAACTTGACAAGCACGCTGTATAGTTTTCTGTTCTGTTTCTTCTTTTGATGCCATGATGTAGGCAAAAGCTGTAGAAACATCAACTTTCTCAAACTCTCCATCTTTCAATGCAGCTCTCCAACTATCTAGAAATTCTCCAGGAAATTTATCTTTAACAAACTCTCCATAGCATTTCCCCTATAATACATAACACAGTTGTAAAACAGATGTTCAGTCAATCTCTTACTATAGTAAAGAACAGAACTTTTCATTGGTTGAATATTAAATGAACCTGACCAGTAGATACATAACAATTTGGTCAGATCATGGATGGCAGGTGGAAAATAACACAAAGTGAAATATCTGAGATTGTATTCAGATTGAAACTTATCATGAAAACTTGTACCTTTTTACTTCCTTTTATAGCATCTACCAATGTTTTGAAATTAGCTTGGTCTTTATCAGCCTGTAAAGACAAATAAAACATTAGGGCTGTAACATTTTCAATATTGACAAAATATGAACTTTGCTATACATTGCTAGAATTCACCAAATTTTAATGTGTAGCAAAATTCATACAAGTGACCTTCATTCTACTTTCACAATTTGATATGGACATCACATTTGCAGCACTTGTATTTATCAGTCTGTGCTCCTGAATTGAATGGATTACAGAGATCAAATACAATCACTGACAATCCATTTAAAAAGAGAAATAAACAAATCTAAAGAGGTATACCTTATCTCTTGTTAGTAATTTGATACTTGGTACACCTTGATCGCCATCTTTATTATTGACTTGTTTCAAAAAGTCTATTTTCTTCTTACTTGCTAGTATATAAATACCATTTTCACATAGTACCATAATAGTATCGGTCAGTTCATAACCAAATAACCAAGTCTATTTGAAGAAAAAAAACAATATCATACAGTACCTGGCTTCTAGCAGAACATTTTGCATTATTACTTATGCCTAAGAAAATTATATGAAGATCCTCCTTTGTATTGGCCATTGTTTCTAATCAGAATCACACACAATCTGTCATTATCAAAATGTCTGTCAATTATATCCTTTGCTTGCTTGCTTTCAAAGTTATGCTTTGGCAAAAACACCAATCTTATTTCTAGTAACCAAGTAGTTGCTAAAGAGAAACTTTGAAAAAAGGTATTTGAAAGGCATATACATCACATAAACATAACTCAAGCAAAATAGTGTAAGCTCACCTGTAAAGATGTAGATTTAGAATAAACCACATCCTCATCCACTCCAACAGAAGTAACCAAGGCATCCATTTTAGCCAACCCATCATCACCAGATGCTTTCTACAAAAAAAAATATAAAATCGAACTTCTCAAACTTAAGCAATATATTCATCAGCGGACTTACCTCTATTATCTGAAAAATCCATAAAATTTAGTAATTATCCATAAAACTAATTAATAAATGATTTAAAGTGGCTCTGTTATATACTTATGACAATCGACCTATGACACCAGGTAAGTCCACTGATGAATATATACTCTTATAAGTTTGAGAAGTGAAATTTTAGGAGCATTCTAAGAGATGGAATCTCTTTAAATGGGTTCTGTCTACTATTACTTTCAGATAGTTTCTTACTAAACTATAAATCTAGACTTAAAAACCTGAAGTGTTAATGAGATCTTGCGATAAATTTCAAGAAGGAAATTAGTATCAGACCCTAGCTAGGAATAAAGCCTATAATGAGAGCTGAAATAGCTTGGACTAGGTCTTTGAGTTTATAATAATAAGTTAATTAAATGAAAATTCATGATCAGTACCTAGCAAATGTCAAATTAATTCAATTCAAGTGACATTTGATTTGACCGGTAACCATTGTGTATAAGTATTACATAGTAATGTAATTTGTGATTAAATAATGACTTCTTATTTACAACTTGATTTCTATAGATTACCATTAATATGTTGCTTAAAATAGGATCATGTTGCTAAACCATGTCAATGACCAATCCATGCTTGCTTTGCATGTTGATATTATTCCTTATATTCATTTGTTGACATAGATCTAGATAGACACCATGGTTATAAAAAACCTGAAAATTTACATCTTGTTACTTACAGCCCACGAGGAATAAACTCTCTTTATACGCCGCAAAAATGCGTCTTTGTCAACGCGTAAATTCGACATTTTAGTTGTCTAATTAACAACTTTCAATGCCGAAGTTACTAAAAATTGAGATGGCGGGAGAGTCTGTCAAGTCACGTGCTTCCGGTCAGAATTTTTCTAAAAGAAATTTGATTGGTTTAAATTAGAAAATGGCTTCCACTGCAAATCCGATGGCAGTTTGTGTGGCAGTCATTGCTAAAGAGGTGATATTAGTTATTTCTTTGCCATAAATTTAGAGCAATTTGAGTGCCAATCCAGACTATAATCTCAGGTCGTTTTTAAAAGATCGCAATGGTTGATACTCGTTTTTTTTTTAGAGGGACATTCACTGAAAAAGTGAAGGACAATATTAGCATTAGGCTAAATATGTCCCTACTCCACCCAACAACTGAACAAGACCAAGTTACCCAACCAAGCAAGACAGACGACACCACCTCTAATGCACTACATTCTGTCAATTTTCTACTCTTAAAGTGTCAATAACTGTCTGAAGAAGCTTTTGATTATCAGAATGCAATGAAGATTTCATCGAATTCGAAAGAGAGTTCTAGAGTTAGCTTTAGTAGAGGTTTTAATAAGTCTTTCTCTTTAGACCTTAAGATCATCCATTCTGTTTCTCAATTTACTTTCATTCTATTACAGAACTATCCATTGTTTATCAAGACAATACCCACAGAAAACGAATTAAAATTCTATTACACTGTACATACTTCCCTTGACGTTGTTGAAGAAAAAATAAGCTCTGTTGGAAAGACATCTACAGAAGTTAGGGAATTATATCTTGGTTTATTATATCCTACTGAAGATTATAAAGTGTATCCTTTATTAGCTCGATAATTAAGAATTCAATCAATCAGGAATTAAGTTAATTATCACCACTGGTAATTAGGATTATAATATTAATTGATTGATTGATCCACAGTCACTGTCTTGTATATATTTAATCAAATTTACAGTGACTTATCAACACAGTATATTTATGTGTAAAGATAGAAAAGCAATATAAAAACATTAGATTTATCCATACCAATTCTTATATATGAATTTGTATTATCCTCAGTGGTAAAAAATTTTCTGTACACAGGTACCGGTACTAGAAAATTTTGTTTCTATAAAAAACTTTAAAAAGAAATATTCAAGTGAACAAGTTTTATTTTTTCTTGACAATACTCAAGATATGGTTATGTAACAAATACTAAAGTAAAATTTGTACTAGTGGTTGAATCAAATAATGTTCTGAGAGATAATGATATACGAACTGTAAGTGATATTAAATGTTCAATAATTTAAGTATTTCAGGTTTGTAGGTAGAATTAATGGCATAAGGTGGGGTTAGAAAACCTCCCCCCTCTGTTGTACATCAAGAACTGCAGCCTTATTTAAAAGTGAAATTGAAACAATTGATGGGAATAATGCATATTTTCTTTCTTTCAGATGTTTAAAAAATTACACAATGCTTATGTAGATATGTTATGTAATCCCTTTTATACCCCTGGTGAAAATATTACATCAAAGTGAGTTTTAAAATTATTTTTCTGTACTGATTGTTATGTCTAATTATTAGTCATATAGAAAAAGAAAAATAGACTAATGAGTCTAAAACATAACAGTGCAGATGCATCACAACTATTTATATCAAACAATGCATTGATAATGTGAATTGAATGACGCCACTTTTCATTATGAAATATATACTTTCTTATGTAAAAAGTTCATTAGCTGCTACTAATGTTTCGCCAATATGTTGTATTGGCTTTATTTATAGATGTATCGTGCATTGTTAATTGTTGCATCCCTGAATCAATCCTCAAACCTTCATTACATGACTTAAATTTTGTCAATTTCTTTACAGGAATTTTGAGAATGTTGTAACATCTATGATGCAACAAGAATAGACTTGTTGTGTAGTACACTTTGACAATACATTTAAATTTACAATTATAATATAGTACTATAACAGTGGCCAATATGCATCGTAGAGGAGCTGGCCTTGGAGCCATTAAAAACAAAACTTTAGCTCAAGCTAAATACAGAGATAAAGGATCAGAGATAGCAGAAGATAAATTTTCTCAAATGACGCAACAGATGGAAATGTTTAAAACTAATTTGGAAGATTTCGCAAGAAAACATAAAGATGACATCAAGAAAGATCCAGAATTCCGTCTGCAATTTCAAGATATGTGTGCCTCTATAGGTGTCGATCCCTTAGCATCCAGTAAAGGTTTTTGGGCTGAAATGTTGGGAGTTGGAGATTTTTACTATGAATTAGCTATACAAATAGTGGAAGTTTGTATTGCCACAAGTCCAAAAAATGGAGGATTGATCAATATTGAGGAGTTACGTGATAAAGTTGAATGTGCTAGGGGACGTAACTCTCAAAGTATTAGTATTGATGATTTACTTCGTGCCATTAAAAAACTAAAAATACTTGGTAGTGGCTTCACTGTGATTAATATGGGTTCAACTTCTCTTGTTCAGTCCATTCCTGGTGAAATGAGTATGGATCATACAAAAATTTTACAACAGGCTCAGAAAAATGGGTTTATATCCCTAACGGACTTGACTCAGAATTTTAAATGGGAACCTGAGCGTGCTGCACGTGCATTAGAGTTTATGGTGAAACAAGGATTGGCCTGGGTGGATGACCAGGATTCAAGTGGTAGAAAATATTGGTTTCCTAGTTTATGCACTAATATTGGAAGATAGTCGATCATAATTTGGGAGATTTTGATAATTAAATATAGATTCCTCCAGCCAATTCTCACCTATAACACTAAAACTTTATAACTTATTTATTTGTATACAAATCAATTCAATTGGAATTCATACCTGTAACTAGTATTGTGTATGACAGCAATTTAGTATAATCCAGGGCATATTAAGTTTGTGGGAGTCCAGTAATTATACAGTGAAGACGCTATGCAAAGTGAATCAGAACCTCTTTTCATGAGTACTATGTATAGTATTTCTCTGCAATATAATAGAAATGTGAAAACATTAGCTTAGGTGATGATTAAATTTCAATAGCTCCATCCCTCCATGAATTGTGATTTAAATTCTCTATGTTCTTATTAATTTTTTTTTTGTAATTTCAAAATGCATTGATATGATAGTTAGCTACATGATCTTGAAAATAGATTGTGTTGGAGGAATAAAGCATTATTAGTTTTCAGAAATGTGCTTTTAATGTGTCATTATTTTGCCTTCAGTAATGCTCTCTTGAATGTCATTCTTGTGTATTTTTTTTATCATATTATGAAAATATTAAACCATAAGGTTGTTGCTTAGGCTTATGCGCTTTATGATAAGGGTACACAAATAGTCTTTGTCGGTCATGGAATCTTGAGTAAAATCGACCATGTGCCTGTGATTCCACGACAAGATTATTGCATTTGCCGACAGGATGTATAAAATCAAACCAGTTTGATATTCGTCGCACAGACAGAGCATCATCATCCAATTAGATTCATTTTTCTTTCAATTGCATGATTATCGACAGTGGAAAATGACCGACTGGAGATCTTTTGTCTCATTGTGTGCCTGCAGCCAGTTAGTGACAAAAATCGCCAACCATGACGGTTTGTGTGCCCTCACCTTTATTGATTATAACTTATTTATGATTTTAAGTTCTAAATTATGTTCTTGTAAATGCTAATGTAATAATAATTGTTGCTACATAAGATTATTCATACTGATTGACTTCTATGATTGTACATCCAGATTTGCACACAATTTGTCAGTCATTTCTTGATATTTCAGTGATCAAACTTGGAAGAGGCTTTACACAATTTGTCAAGTGATAGTAATATTGCGACTTGAATAGCTCTCAAGTGGATAATTCGGTTACTTAGTCACAATTTAACATTAAGCATTTAACACATCGGTTTACCAATGAAACATTTTGGATCCATAGCATTTGTTTAGCTTGTAGAGCTGAATCCATAGACATTATCACAGGATAATATTAATATAGATGCAGCAAACCGGTACTATTACAGGATACGTTGCAGAGCGCTAGCTAGACCGTTTGATACGACAGGTCATTTACAATTGTGGCCCATGAATAAACTGAAGGAAACACTAAATTTGTATTCATCTTTATTCACAGCATATATAACAATTTACACATAAAATTATATACAAGTAATTATTGGTTGTTACAATAACAAACCCAAATAACAATAACAAATGTTGACATTTACAGAGGTTCTTTTGGTCAATAAGTGCTAACTATTAACAGTTTTCAACAAATATCTACAATAAATGACAAAACTTTAATTTGATAATGAAAAGCTGAACTTAACATTTTCACAACCAATAAATTATCTAATTTCATTGAGCATTTAACCAATAATAGACAATTGTACTGGTGGAACAGATTAATATCTCAGAAAGTATTGAAAAAACCCTAAAAATGACCATATAGCTTATTTTCATTGTAAGTTTTATGCAAACGTAATCTTAAACTATTAAAACAGTGGTTTTCATTATCACAAGTATAAAACAGAATAATTTCATTCTCGATACAACAACTTTCATATTTTGAGCAAAAAAATACCATTCACTTCACCTAATGATCTAAAAAATAAATTACTACATTTTCAATTCGTATCTATTTTAAAATTTCATTCACTCCCATTACTCAATATTGTATTTCATCCATTCACAATATACGTGTTGCAATCTATTTTTCATCATTGACTTGCATAGAAATGCACCACACACTACTGACACAACAATTATTGCAAATCACTTTTCTGGTAGCTGAAGCCAGTGAGATACAGTAGTATGTAGTAAATTGCAGGAATTGATCAAAACATACAAATCAACAAAACATTAAAACATAAGTTATTAACAAATGTTAAAGTAAATTGTTTCCATATACGATATTTCAATTTATTGTAAACAGAACATATATTATACCACACATGCAAATAATATTTTACTGAAATTTATTGAGAGAAAATCTTTTACTGCATTCAATCAAATTTAGAATGTAAGAGTTTTATGTAAGACTCAAAATTACCCAATTTCATGCACAATGTCATCTTAATGTAAATCTATTATGAACTTAGCCTTATACCTTGACTGCAATAGTCAGAAATTTGTAAATGCAGCAATTTGATTGATTGTAAGCTAATGAATACAGTAAATCAGAGGCCTCAACAGAAAGTTTGTCATTCTGTCTAGGGCTCTCATTGGCTGTATTCGCTGGAGTACAATTTAATCAAACGATACAAGAATAGTGGCTATTGTAGTCAAGGTATACGACAAAGTTTGTAACATTGTGAAGATGGTACACTGGAGAAAGAATAACTAGCAATAAAGTTGATATTGGAATGCTAGGTAGTTGGAATATTATTCAGATAGTAGTTTACAAGGCAATGCTGACAATTAAGAACATAATATGTGTTCTCATAAATACTTGCTTTGTACAATATAACATACAAAATTATACAATATCGGAAATAAATTGATAACTTTTGGTTATATATTGGAGACCATAATATGAAATGTGATTGAACATATATCCAAATCATGAAAGGTTACATTTCATACTTTTTAGACACAAATACCATATAAAAAAAAAAATATACAAAAAAATAATACAAAAATTATAAACGACAAAGCGCTAATACTTGTTATTGTTACTTGGTGTAAAGAAATATCAGCTGTAAACATAATTTAAGTAGAAATCATGCATCTCATTCACAAAAAGGCATGGAAATTGGACAAGTGGGAGGCGCATGCAAAAATTCTTCAAGCCAACATACACTATCTATCTGTAGTACTTTTCAAAATGAATAAGTCACTTTCTTCCCTATTGCAGTAAAAATTGCTAGAAACAGCACAATGGATGGTGTTATTATATAGTTTGTGTAGGTTTAACAGCACTCTGGATCATACCATACAAAAATATATATTGAGACAGTCATGTTAAAGGAACAATACTCAAGAATATTGTTTACTTCAATCCCTTATCAAATACTTAGTTTGTATAAAACATGCGAATGCTCATAATAAAACCTTACATTTAGATTGCTAATTTTGTAAGTGGGTACATTCTAAAGAAAATCTCAAACAGTAATATATTAATATACTAGACATAGTGGACTAGAAAGGCCAGTAAGTTATATTGAATGACATAAAATAATGATAAAAAGTTATTGGGTGGGCTAGTTAATATGGGTGATAGTTACATGGCAAGGATGATTGATAATATATTCTTAGCACTTAATTTATTTCACAGGTAAAATGATAGTTCTATCACAAGCCAGTGTTAAAATTGAAATTCAGCTGTAGCCATATCAATAGCCCATCGGAACTTTTCTCGTTGAGTTTTATTATAGATCTTCTCAATTGGTACATCAAACTTCTTACACCTTAAATACATAACATACATTTCATTACCTCATATCCTGTTTAATATGCCATGATAAAGTGATATGTAGACATCATGTTTATTATGCCAAGATAAAATGATATGTTGACATAGTGTTTATCATGTCATGATGCAGTGATATGTAAACATCATGTTTATTGTGCCATGATTTAGTGATATATTGACATGTTTAATATGCCATGATGAAGTGATATGTTGACATGTTTATTATGCCATGATGAAGTGATATGTCGACATGTTTATTATGCCATGATTTAGTGATATGTTGACATCATGTTTATTATGCCATGATGAAGTGATATGTTGACATAGTGTTTATCATGCCATACAAACAATCCTGATCGAAAAAGCAGAAAAAAGTTGGTCAACTTACCAGGCTACGGAAATTCTAGGATCTAAATAATTCAATTTGGACGTACCCAAGGCAATATCTTTATTTTCATCCTACAATATAGATATAATAATTCATATATAAATGATTCTCATATTTAATATATAAAAACTGTCCGAATTTGCTCCATTTGTCATAAATTGTCCAAACATTAAATTAAGCTTAAAAACTAATGCAATGATGGATAGAATTAAACCATCTTCACTTTTGGAAACAGTTTATCAAAAAAAAGACCTACTCTATCAGTGGCAGCAACTTCCAATTTCTGTAGTTGTTCTTCTAATCTTTCTAATATTTTCTTCTTTCTATCAAGGTTACTAAAAGAAGATCAATTATTGATTAATTTTACTTTGTGTGTTTCTACCCCTGCTTGTGCTATTGAACACAGACAATATGTTCTTTACCAGGCAAGCTGCGTATTTTAGAACTGGACCAGATTTGTCTCTATTTAGAATTGTTTTAAAAAGATTTCTATATGATTACCTTCTGTTTTTTTCTGATTTACTCTGTTTATAATCAACTTTAGCATCTTTAACATTTCTCTTAGCTTCTTGTATTGTTTTCTTCTTATCCTCAATCTGTAATACATGTCATTGGTCAATTTCAAAATCCTATATCAAATTTTGTACACCTTCATCAAAATCATTGTGCTATCTCCTTTCAGTCTTATTCAGAAAAATTTCATGATTTAATCCTAAATAGTATGTCACCTTGTATTTTGATTTTTATAAATTTTATTCATGATTCATTTAACTTTATTTCTTCAATACATAGCTGAAGACCATCACAAGTTCCATATCTTTAAAATAGTCCCAAGGGGGAATATCATAAAAAGCAAATTATGGCTCATTACCTTAGTCATCATGTTCTGCATTGACTTAGCAAATGTCTTGGGTACAGCCCGTTGATGGTTACATAGTACAGCTACAGCTCTGTTGGCTCTGTTGTAAGAGAGAATCTTCGAGGCTACAGGATCATCAGCTAAAAAAAATATATACCATTTCATATTAATCAGTATAAATTTCTTCCATTTGAAAAATCTATTGCTTCAGGTTTGAAAGATTCAGTATTATTTTTTGCACAATACAGGTCTCTTTTTCTATATAAAAGTCACGATAGAATTATTACAAAGAGTATAAAAACTACAAACTTACGGTCAGTAAGTAGATTGAGTTGTTCCTGTAATGTTCTGGATGCATTATATGTCCTAAAAACTTTAGCTGTTAATCCTTCCATTAAATCATGTAAATGTTTATTCAATATGGTTGTCTGAAACACAAAATCAAAAATTGTTGATAAATAGAACTAGCCATATATTGTTCTTAAAATATAACACTATACAGGTGGTAGTGAGTTAGGTTGCGATTAGGTGCCATGGGTTTAAATCCTCAAGGTCAAAAACATTCTATCATGGCCAGTGCTTCCTTGAATAAGCCTCTTTCCCCATTTTAAAAGCACTAAATCTTGACAGCTATGTACCAGGCACAAATATGCTAATCAAAATTGACAAAAAAATGGGGACATCAAAATCAACTTACATTGAGTCTATCAAAGAGATCATCTGATGGTTGTTTATTTTGTGTAAACAACTCAAGGTTTTTAAACACACGTTTTTCTACTGGTATAGCATTAGTATATCTGATGGAATCTTTACCCAGGAAATCAAACTCAACAACGTAAGGTTTACTATCTTTTTCTTCATATAGTTTGGTATGTTCAACTCTTAGAGAACAACAACCTACAGTATCAGCTGTTTCACCTTCTTCTTTCTCGTTACCAGCTCTTAATGCCAACTGTTATACAAATCAATATAGTATAAAATATTGGCAACATGTTTCAGTTTCTCTTTTAATTTTTCATTATAAACCAGCATAAGAATTTAAGCGAGATCAAATATACTACTAATAAGACGTCAAGAGTTTCTGAAGAGACCTTCAGATGAACTGGCAACATAAATAACCCCCGATTTACTTAATGAACTCTTCTGAACACTGTGGACTATCAATAGAGAAATACATAGGTGTAAAGTTCATTATAGAACGAGGGGGTGTGAAATAGATGATTGTCAAACTACATACCTTATCAATAAAGTATAAAGCTACAGCTCTCTGTCGAATTCTCATTTCTTTAGATTTAAAATCTTCATGATAATTGGCACGGATCTTATCAACACATTTATGTAGTTTTCTAGCCACCTCATACTTTGCCCAATCTTTTTCTCCCTGTAAATGTCGATCTTTAGTTAGAAATATCAAGAAACATCAGAATTTCACATGGGGTATCTGGCACAGCTTGGCGATATTGTGCACCAAAGTTACAAATTACTAAACACTTGCCCAGTGTCAGTCAGCAACCTTTGGTATTTCCAAACTAAAACCAGGAACTTTTCTATGACATTCAGAATTCAACACAGATATTACCAAAGGAATCATATGATGTAAATTTAACAGATTATGAGTCCACAAATTTCAAAAATATTTCTTACCTTGAGTTTTGATGCTGCATTTAACATAATATATTTAGTTTGTCCCTGAATATTTTCATTCCAACTAGCTAACCATGTCACCTAAAATAAAACAAATTTTGCATCATATTTTAAGACTCCAGACAACATCATGCACTGTGCAAGGAGGGAAATTTTGTTTGGACAGCCACATAAGACCAATGCTGGATTGCGACCTGTCAATGGATATTTAACATGCATAAAAAAATGTCAGTATGGTAAATGATAATGTTACCTGATTGTCATGTCTAACTTCTTTCCATTTATGACCCTTTGGTGCTTCAGGAATCTCAGAATCTCTAAATTAACAAATGATTATATTACATTACAAAGTCTATAAGAGTGGGTTTTGATCAACCATGCAACTGACAAAATCTGTGTGCAACTGCACTTTCAGTAACTGCTAGCACATTTTCTAATTAGACGGCCTTTTACAGAGATAATTTATTTTGATCATGAAATAAGAATAATAAAAATTTCTTACTTTCCACAATTAATAATAATATCTTCGGCTTGAACACGTCGTTTCAACATGCCTTGTTTAGGATGTTCTCCACGACCTCGGAATAAACCAGGAGGTTCAATACGGAAATTACCAATCTTTTCTTTATGTCCATCAATAATACAGAAACCATATTCTTTAGTGATTGCTTCATTGGCCTCTTTTATTTCCTAGAAAAGTTTTATAATAAATATACAGCTATTATTCTTGGAGTTCGGAACAGTGGTTATAATACATCTTTTCTTTTATTTTCATTACTCACTAGTGAATTTCTGGCGGATTAAAGAGATGCAAATCAGATCAAGGACCAAGAGACCAGCATTAACTCGTTATTCAGCTATGCCCTCTGGAAACTTTTGACATTGGATTCAATAAATTTTAGAGCTATATAATTATCATTACCTTTTTCTGATCTTTACTCATGGCCTTCCTTTCCTCTGATTTCATTTTAAAATATTCACAAATTTCTTTAAAATTACATTTCTTTAAATCAGTAATAACTTCTTTCTCCGCCTTAGTCATAACCTATTTTTAAAAGAACAAAATTATTTCCAGAAATATATAATTTGTCACTAATCTAATTGTGATACCTAAGGTGAAATAGTGAAACAGAAAGCACACATGGTTTGAAATATTTAAGTACTTGAGCCATTTTTTTTTTCTTTGGTGATAATGGGAGTTCATAGGCTATATAAGCTGTATCCAAAACAGATTATGTCAATTCAAATGTAAACAATGCAATGAGGAAAGTAAACCAGTTTTACCTTTTTCCAATCTCTAAAGAAATTGGTGTTAAAAGCATCTTTAGTAGTATAGTCATGGTCCAACATTTTACCATAAAATGTGGCAACTTCTTCTGTTTCTTCTGCTAATTTCATCTGTTTACCTGTAAATGACAAGAAGTTGATATTGCTTTATATAAGAAGAAATAAAAGCAAATAGAAAGTCATTTTGACAACGGGCTGTAGAACGTCATTTCCTTAGTTTAACAAAGAAACAGTGGTTGTGATCTCTAATTTTGGTCAGCGTGCAGAGATTAGTGACCTTGACTAAATCATCTTCCCTCAATAATCCAGTCAGCACAGCACTTTTCAAGGCCTGAATAAAGGTACACTTACCATCATAATAAAATTTAACATTATCTGGTAGAGGTTCATATGGAGGGGCAAATACTGGTCCTTTATGTTCTAATGTCTTCCATTTGACACCATCATCTTTCTTTTCTTCTTCCCACCTATGGGAAAATTCACAAATTCATATCTTATTTTATGATCGTACAAAGCATGAAGAATTCTATTACCATGTACTAAAAAGGCTTGCAACTGCTGGCAAGTTTGATGAAGAATCTATGCTTTTCATATCAAGCAAAATCAAATTGGCAACCAAAATGTAACTTACCACTTCCAAACTTCTCTTTCTTCTTCCTTTTCTTTTTTGACTCTTTTCTTGGGAGATGATTCTGTACCTGAGCTTGCTGAACCTTTCTTATCTGATCCTTTCTTTTCTTTCTTCACCTCTTTCTTGGCCTTCTTAGCTTTACTAACTGGTTTAAAATCCTCATCTTCAGACTCTAAACTTTTCCTTTTTTTACTTGCTTTATCTTCTTTTTTAACTTTCTTTACCTTATCCACCCTGAAATTATAATCATTGTTAATCTGATACTTACTCCTCTAAGTCCTTTTGTCAATTTTCTCAAATTCTGAAAGTGGAACTATGAACCACTTTATGGCACATTTTGAAATATTTACATTGTAGTCAAAAAGCTTATTGTTTTTCTGAAGCTACGCTGCAAGTCACAATCCCTCTTTAAAGTATTCCATCCTGACCAAAGTATGTTGAATTCTCATAAGGTATTTCATTTTAGGTTGGAAAAAAAACTTGTTTTTACCTTGAGGACAATGGCTCATCATCACTCGATTCCTCCATTTTTCTCTTATTTACAGGTTTAACTCGACAAGACTGAAATATAATAAACATAAATTGCGATTGACAGTTCAGATAGTCATTAAATGATAAATTAACCTTTTCATTGCCAAATCTTATCTTTACAGATCAAATATCAAAACAGACACATAAGGAAACAAAAGAGAAACTTACCAAAGGTGCATCATCTTCATCATCACTAGCAGCTTCTCTTTTGACTCTAGGTGATGATACAGGTGATTTGATTGGAGAACTATCAGGTTTCATCTTCACAGGACTAGCTTGTACTTTTTCTTCTTTTATTTTGACAGGAGAATCCTTTTTTTCTTCCTTAACTTTAATCTCGGACGAATCTTTCTTCTCCTTCAACTTGTCTTTATCATCTCGATGTCGATCTTTATCCTCGCGATGTCGATCTTTATCCTTAGAACTTGAACTATCCTTGTGACGGTCCTTGTCCTTGCTACGATGTTTATCTTTAGAAGAGCTATCTTTGTGTCTATCTGATGAAGAAGAGCTTTTATGACTCCCATCTTTAGACCGCTCTTTGTCTTTATCTCTATGCTTGTCAGAAGATGAACTAGAGCTATGTTTATGTTTATCACTAGAAGAAGAGCTATGTTTGTGACTGGAGGAACTTGAGCTATGTTTGGAACTACTGTGCTTATCACTGGAGCTGCTAAACTTTTCCTTGTCACTGGAACTTTTATGTTTGTCACTAGAAGAGCTGTGTTTAGATGAACTGCTACTGCCATCCTTGTGTTTAGAACTAGATGAACTATGTTTCGAAGAGGAGCTAGATGATTTGTGACCATCTTTACTACTGCTACTACTGTGTCCATCTCTATGTTTACTGGATGAACCTCCCTCTCTATGTTTTGAGCTTGAAGATGATGAATGGTGTTTGGAGCTTGACGAAGAACTGTGGGATTTCTCAGATTTAACATGGTTTGATGAACCTTCAGTATGGTTACTCAGGCCATTGGTTGAACCATTTGTTAATGGTTTGTCTGGAGATTTAGCACCTAATTCCCCTAAAATATAAAAATTTACATTAAGCTATTTAATCGAATGTTTCTTTGAGTATCAAGAGTTGAGTATCAAGAGAGGTCACAGAGAGGCACTTTTAGGTGTCAGCCTTTTTTCCTAATTTTTATATGTTAAAATTCATTGTTGGCACAAGATAGTTAGACAGCATTTAAACAATTTTTTAAGCTGTTTCAAGCTTTCACTATCCATTATCAAATTTTACAAGATAAAATTGGTAATATAGATGTTATAAGCAACTTTTTTACTCTGAAGTTTAGAGAAACCAGCAAAAATAGTTATTTTTCTCAATTCCTTAAATTATCATATTGCCATTTTTACATATTAAACAACTTAAAAAATATAAATTTAAATAAATTGCTTATCATTTATTATATTTTTTTCACCTAAAAAAAACCACCAGTATTCTACAGTGATAAATCTGCCATATAAAAAATGACCTCAGACATAACAAAAATGGTAAACAAGTCAATGACCTCAGTTATTTAAATATGGTAATTTCTTCAGGTCATGTGATCACTCCAGTCACCGGCTCAAATTTAGAATCTTCTATTTATTATAGCATTCAAAATAAAAAAGAACAGCTAACCTCTATAACGCAATCATGTGCAATATACTTTAAGAAAGGTCCCGAGATAAATTTAACAACAATTTCCATTTAATTACAGAGAGTATTTTGCAAATTTATAAGGCGTACACGTGTTTTTTCAGCACTTTTCCTTTGGAGAAATCTCGGTAACTGACCGACAGAGGCGCCACCACGTGGTGTACCAACAGAAACCTTGCTCTATTTTATGACATAAAAATATCGGCATTCTCACTTTAATTCGATAGTTCTAAGAAAATTACCTTTCAATTTGAATAGATATGAGAATTGATCTTAGAATTAGTTTGATCAAGAAAGAATACTATCTTTTTCGACGTAGATTGTGAGAAAATTGACGAATTTCAAGTCATAAATTTTCTCCATATTTTTCGAAGTCCATGAGTTAGAAATCGTCTTCGACTCGAATTTACCCACCTGTATCTCCCGATCCAATGTCCCCACCGACTACCTGAAATTAAAAGTATATTCAAAAATATATTTATAATCGATTGAATGATTTTACTTCACTTTCGCCTTCAAACATGGCGTAAAAACTCGCGGACAAAGATGCTGTGTTCAGCACTTTTCTGTTTGACTTAGAAAAATTTTGCGGCCATCTTGACTTAGCCGCCAGAGATGGCTTTGTCTGGTGTTCAATTTTCCTCTCTCTAGAGAAATACACATTGGGCGAATAAAACCAAGTTTCATGTGAAAAGTTTCTATACGTATGTCTGACTTACCTTAGTAGGTGAAACAGGCTGTTCGTCCACTTGGTCTTCCATTTCATAAATGAATTTCACACAAAGTTTCGACTAGAAATGGCGGAGTGAAGAACTATCGCCGTGTGCGTCTAAGTCCCAATTTTGTGTTAATGCGCATGCGTGAGTTTGATAATCGACAAGTTAGATTTCAATCTGTGATTGTCAACATGGGTAAACAAAAGGCAGGGAGAAATAACCTATGTTCATTTCTGCTGGACAGTCTCCCATTGTTTTCTCAACAATTCAACACATATTGATATATATTAGCATATGACACGTTTCTACCTTTAATTAAAATTAAAGCGGATTAGGCTAGTCCTATTATAGGACCAGACATTCTTAGGCTAACCATAAGGCCGACATAGGCCTACCCTACAAGACAAGTTTAAAAGGTTATCGGATAACGGTAGCCTACACTTCACATGCTACATGGGCCAATGCCTACTTTGTATATAGATAGGCTTTATGTCTAAGTAAACGGAAATACATGAAATGATATTTCAAATTGATAACTTTTTTGTTCTGAACTGGCTATTCGGGCCTGTAGGCTACCTCTTGGGCCTATTTAAAACTATTCATATGTAATTTTTTTTTGCCCATGAAAATGCTGGGTAAGCGCTGGATTATCGGTAGATTTATTATCAGTTGAGCTGTTAAAGTGAAATTTATCTCCAAGCGAATGCTCGAGCGACTGTTAGGGTCCATGTGAAAATACTATCTTGATTGGATTTCCATCTGTTGGAAATATAAGAATTTTGTGGGCCTATAAAGGTCAATTATTGGTAGGATAGTATGGCTATGATATTCTCTAAAATCATTGGTGGGTTAGTATGATATATTCAATAAAATCATTGGGATATACTTCCTCATGTGAAAAGTTCAATAGCTGCTACCAATATTTCGTCAATATGTTGTTACGGATTTCGGGTTTCGTTTTGTGGTTCGGATCGTTAGTATTTGGTTTATTTATTAGTATGACATTAATTCAATAAAATAGGTTGGTATGATATTCAATATAATCATTAGTTCAGTTTGATATTCAATAAAATCGTTGTTAGTTTATTATGATATTCAATAAAATCATTGGTAGGTTAGTAGGTTTGATATTCTATAAAATCGCTGGGAAGCTAGTATGATATTCTATAAAATCGCATGATATTTTAAGATTATGGTAAGTTGATATATCATTCGATAAAATCGTCGATTATGATACTCAATAAAATTGCTGGTAGGTTAGTTTGATATTCTATAAAATCGTTGGTAGGTTAGTTTGATATTCTATAAAATCGTTGGTAGGTTAGTTTGATATTCTATAAAATCGTTGGTAGGTTAGTATGATATTCTATAAAATCGTTGGTAGGTTAGTTTGATATTCTATAAAATCGTTGGTAGGTAAGTTTGATATTCTATATAATCGTTGGTAGGTTAGTTTGATATTCTATAAACTCGTTGGTAGGTTAGTTTGCTATTCTATAAAATAGTTGGTAGGTTAGTTTGCTATTCTATAAAATCGTTGGTAGGTTAGTTTGATATTATATAAAATCGTTGGTAGGTTAGTTTGCTATTCTATAAAATCGTTGGTAGGTTAGTTTGATATTTTATAAAATCGTTGGTAGGTTAGTTTGATATTCTATATAATCGTTGGTAGGTTAGTATGATATTCCATAAAATCGTTGGTAGGTTAGTTTGCTATTCTATAAAATCGTTGGTAGGTTAGTTTGATATTCTATAAAATCGTTGGTAGGTTAGTTTAATATTCTATAAAATCGTTGTTGAGTAAGTAGGATATTCTACTTCATTGTAAGGATAGTATGATATTCAATAAAATCATTGGTAGTTTAAAATTTAGTATGATATTCAATTAAATCGATGTTAGTTTTAGTATGATATTCGATAAAATTGGTAGGTTCTGGTAGATTTTATAAAATCGTTGTTAAATCATTGGTAGGTTCTTTAAAATCGTTGTTAAATCATTGGTAGGTTCTATAAAATCGTTGGTAGGTTAGTTTGATATTCTATAAAATCGTTGGTAGGTAAGTTTGATATTCTATAAAATCGTTGGTAGGTTAGTTTGCTATTCTATAAAATCGTTGGTAGGTTAGTTTGATATTCTATAAAATCGTTGGTAGGTTAGTTTGATATTCTATAAAATCGTTGTTGAGTAAGTAGGATATTCTACTTCATCGTAAGGATAGTATGATATTCAATAAAATCATTGGTAGTTTAAAATTTAGTATGATATTCAATTAAATCGATGTTAGTTTTAGTATGATATTCGATAAAATTGGTAGGTTCTGGTAGATTTTATAAAATCGTTGTTAAATCATTGGTAGGTTCTTTAAAATCGTTGTTAAATCATTGGTAGGTTCTATAAAATCGTTGTAAATATTCAATAACTTCTTTGGTATGTTGTAGATTTGATATTCTATAAAATCGTTGGTAGGTTAGAATGATATTTAATAAAAATCGTTGATTGGTTAGTATGATATTCCATAAAATCTTTGGTAGGTAATCATGACAATCATCAAAATCGTTGGTAGGTTAGTCTGATATTCGAAAGAACATTGGTAGGTTGGAATGATATTCAATAAAATCGTCGATAGGTTAGTATGATATTCAATAAAATCGTTTCACTATATTGATGGACATGCGAGAAAAAAGCCTTTGGTTACAGTCTTGATTGTTTGGTGATTTCTGATCAGGCGATGTTTTTAACAGACAAAGTGATTTATTTGTTATGCCCTTAGCCTAATGCTCAAAACTGCGCATGCAGTTTTCAATAGGGGTATCACGGCGCTACCAACCAACCCTATAGTTTACCAGATCACAGCCTTTGCCTATCTATAAATCACAGTCTTGGATAGGTGTTCGATATCAGGTTCAGATACAAAGACCACTTCCATCGTTAGGCTACTGTGAATCTTGTCAATCAAGTAGCTCAAAGCCCTGTGTGCTCTTGTGTTATGTACAAGTACAAGTTCAGGGGCGTACCCCCTGAAAATGGTAGGCCCCATGTTGTTAGATTTTGGGTGAGGTTTGCATAATTCCTTTTATAGCGGTGTATTTTTTAGTAATTGTCTAAAATGGATCAATCGACCCCTAGTACAATCTAATAAATTACATCCGTTGTGTGCTTTAATACATTAATTTATGTTTGCCATCCGTTTTACCAAGCATACCCTAGTTTCAGAGACGTGAATTTTTTTTAGCTG